ACCGAGTCTCCTATCTACCTACTCCAGGACTTCTGTGAGGATCAAATGAGATGAGGCATGGGAAAACGCTTCATAGACATTTGGTTATAGTGTAAAGTGTTTGCACCTGGCTATAAAGCAAGTCATGTTCCTGGGGTGGAGAAATAGCAAGGGGGCTAGTCTCTAGGGAGAGGAAGCCTGGTGTTGCTATGTGATGTTATTACCCGCTGCCCACAGCTACCATTTCCAGGCTGGCCATGGGGTCTCAGCAGCAGCTTCAGCTGTGATTTGGTGGGGTGTCGCTCCGGGGTGGTGGCGGGGCCTGTGTCCGACTTGGGGGAAGCTGAGTGTTGCTTTGTGGGCCAAGTCCACACTGCCATTTCTCTGTAAATGGCAAGTGTGCATAATGGCAGCTCCTGTATTGAGCATTTGCCCCCTGGTGGTGAGTGCGTGCCATAGCGACCATTCAGAAGGTGGGAAGGACACTTAGCATATTAGCCTTTTATATAGATAGATTGCAAGGGAAGAAGAGGATCCTTTTCTTTGATGAGCCTAGATCTCCTCCTAGTAACATTCCTCTAAAACAGCGGTTCTCAACCTGTGGGTCGCGAACAATGAAAATACATCCTGCATATCAGATATTTACATTACGATTCATAACAGTAGCAAAATTACAGTTATGAAGTAGCAACGAAAATAATTTTATGGTTGGGGGTCACCACAACATGAGGAACTGTATTAAAGGGTCGTGGCATTAGGAAGGTTGTGAACCAAGAGTCTTACCTCTCCTGCAACTCTGGGACAGAAATTCGTGTGTCCAAGTCTTATAGAAGAATATCAAACCAGAAGAAGGGTGACTAAAATATAAAGAACTTAAGATCTGAGTGCTAGGGAAGCCAATCCTGATAAATTCAGGATATAATTAATGTAAACTATAATGGGATCCTTGTCCTAGAAGAGACAGTGTACTAGAAATATTCAACACTAGAAACCTAAACAACTTCATTCCTTACCACAACCACACAAACGCTCTACCCCACACCTCCCAATATCACAACCTATACAATTATCTGCAGAGACCGGAGAGGCCCCAACTATCATCCACTCAGGTGAGTTATGCCTTTGGTCCTTGTTATCTCATTCGATTAAGATATAATGGCTGCTCTTTCAGCTAAGTAGTTATTTATTGTTTAAAATATTACAAATAGTAGTACATATGTCTCCTTTTTCCCTCATTGACCTCCCCCCGCCTCCCTCTCCCCCTGGCACATGCCCTCACACCCTAGTGTTTCTGTCCATGAGTTATGCTTATATGCATGCATACAAGTCCTTTGGTTGATCTCTCACCCCGCCCCCCGTTCCCTCTGAGGTTGGATGGTCTGTTCAATGCTTCTCTGTCTCTGGATCTATTTTTGTTCATAAGTTTATGATGTTCTTTATATACCACATATGAGTCAGATCATATGATATTTATCTTTCTCTGACTGGCTTATTTCACTTAGCACAATGCTCTCCAGTTCCATCCATGCTGTTGCAAATGGTAAGAATTCCTTTTTTTTTATAGCAGCGTAGTATTCCATTGTGTAGATGTACCACAGTTTTCTAATCCACTCATCTGCTGATGGGCATTTAGGCTGTTTCCAAATCTTAGCTATTGTAAATTGTGCTGCTATGAACACAGGGGTGTATATATCCTTTCTGATTGGTGTTTCTGATTTCTTGGGATATATTCCTAGAAGTGGGATCACTGGATCAAATGGGAGTTCCATTTTTAGTTTTTGAGGAAACTCCATACTGTTCTCCACAGTGGCTGCATCAGTCTGCATTCCCACCAGCAGTGCACAAGGGTTCTTTTTTCTCCACATCCTCACCAGCACTTGTCGTTTGTTGCTTTGTTGATGATAGCCATTCTGACAGGTGTGAGATGGTACCTCATTGTCATTTTGATTTGCATCTCTCTGATGATTAGTGACTTTGAGCATGTTTTCATATGTTTCCTGGTAAGTATTTTACAATAACCACAAACTTAACTCCTATTTTCTGTAGAAAAAGGACATAAGGAAAGGAGAAAAATAAGAAAAGAAAAGAAAAGAAAAGAAAAGAAAAGAAAAGAAAAGAAAAGAAGGAACCAAAGAAAGGAAAGAGGAACCATTTTCTACCAATGAATACCAGGACCTCTGTTTTCCCCACAGCAGCCACTGACACAAGTTCCTTCCTCCTTGAACCTGTTCCTTTAGTTTGATAAAAGCATAATGACATAATGACCTATTACTCCAGAAACGTCAATTACATTTATCTCGATGAAATCCAAAGGTTATTACTGCCCTTACAAACTCAAATAATTGTAAACAGAATTTGCCTCTGAACTAAGAATATTTAAAGCCAAAAGTAGAACAGTTGTCTATACTCTTTTGAAATAAAGATTTTCCTAGGAAAAATGTAAATGAAAATTAATAAACTACTTTTCTCTCTTTCCCAAATGCAATACTGCCAATAATATTTAGATTGTAAACTCTATGAGAGCAGGGACCATGTGTCTGTATTCTTTACTGCTGGGAGATTCCAAGATGGTATAGAATTAAGTGGAAGCTACACTGACCTCCCAGGACCAAACTGGAATTACAACTAAAATATAGAAAAATCATCCTGAAAAACCAACTGAAGACTAGCTAGAGAGAAGCCTTGTATTCTTTACTACTCTATCTTCTGCCCCAGCAACACAGCCTAGCACAGTGCCTGACTTACAGGAGTTCAATATATATATTTCAGGAATGGCTGAATATTAATAACCACAGCAGAAAATGTGTCAACCTCATTGTAAGCACTGAGAATACTTAGATATAAACATAAGAGGGAAACACAGTATTTACCCTGAAGACAACACAATCTGGTCAGAGATCCTCTCAGATCACACTAGCTAAACAGAATTGAACTTGGTCAACCCTTCACAGAAAGTCCTTGAGGAAATTGTAGATAGTCCAACTCAATATTTCACATGCAAGGATAGTACAGAAAAGAAGAGGCTAAATAAATTCCTCCTGTGTAAACTACAGGAGAATTATTAATTTTTGTGCATTAGATGGATATCACAGGGTAACTAACTACTAGGTCTCCTTACATCTTTGGTTTTCTTTAAATGTACTTCACTTTACTGCCCTAAAATGAGGCATTTAAGGGTTACTTATGACAAGGTTACCAAGATCAATTTGAGAGGTAGGAGTACCTGAGAGCTATAGAAAATGAGTTTATGGAAAATGCTTTGAGGTGAAAGGGACCGAGACAGAGTTTTAATGCAACAGTAGAAACAATACTTCAGAAGTCTAGCAAGATGGTGGTTACTTGGTACAATCTCTCACACCCAGAATGCTCTAAATAATAATTTAAAAAAAACCTTTGGCCTACTATGGTTATATCACTAAGACGAACAATAAAATGAAAATGGAAAACTTCCACCTACCAAACGATCTGCAGAAAACATGAAGTCCCCTCTACTTGCTGTCCTAAAAAAAAAAAAAAAGTAGTGCAAGTTTTAGTCTAGATTAGAGCTTTAAGGTAAAATATTACTCATTACATTTAATAACACTGATATTATGACCTATCTACACTAATAAAAGAGAAACATGGTAATTGGCGTACAACCGCTACCCTTCCCATTGGCTAATCAGGGAGATATGCAAATTAACTGACAGCCAAGATGGCGGCCGGCAGCCAGGCAGCTTGAAACTAACATGAGGCTTGCTTCCTTCAGTGACGGAGGAAACCAACGTTCCCCGCCTGCCTTGCAGGCCTCTGAGCCTGCAGTTTGAACATTGTAACAAACATAGAAGCTAAAAAAAACCCCAGAAACCAGCTTTCAGCGAGCTGGGATCTCAGAGCTGGAGTCAGAGCTGGAGTTATACATTGTTTCGAACCGAAACAAACCAGATACCTACTTTCAGCAGCGGAGGCCTAAGAGCTGGAGCCTCAGAGCTAAAGCTGGCCCAGAATAAAAAAAA